GATCAGTGTTTTTACGTTAAACAAACTATTTTTTCTCTCACGATGATGAAGATGAACCGTGTGATGTGTGTGTTGGCTGTTCTGCTGTGCTTCGCCTGCGGGTATACCATGGCGGCTGCTGCTACTACTGCTGCTGGACAGCCAAAGGCGGTGATGGCTGAATTTTATGGAAGTTATGACACTGCTCTTCTTAAGGAGGAGTGGGACAAAAAGCAAAAGGAGAAAGAACTGCTGAAGCAACAAGAGCTGAATAAGCAAAAGGTTACAGCGCCCCTTCAGACTCCAGAACGATTACAACCAGAGACTCATCCAAACGAAGAAACCACTGGAGACTTGCGGAACCAAAAAGGTGATTCTGCTCCATCTCCGGAGGTTAAACGCCCTGAGGGAGTAGACACTCCTGTTGCCGCTGCTGCTGAAACCACTTCCCAACCCAGTCCTGTTGTGGAGGTCGTGTGTATGTCCACGGAAGAACCACATTTACATCGCGCTGATAACACTGTGGAACGCCCATGCGAGACAAACAAAACTGGGCCTGCGTGTGAGGCTTACAAAAAGCTTTGCAAGGCTCGTGCTGATAGTGTATTTTCGGGTCTCTACGATCCCAACGTTATGAAGCCCAATAATAACAGGCCAACTGGAAGTGGTGACGCGGACACTACGTCGCCAGTCACACAAGGTGATCAAGAAGCTTCGAATAGCAATGGGGGTAACAGTACACCTGTTAACTCTAATCCTAACCAAGAACCTCCTGCAGCGGAGAGCAGTACCACAAACGAGAATACAGCTAACCAGCAATCTCCTCCAGCGGCAGAAGATGCAACTACACCATCAGCCCCACAAGAAAATAGCAATGCTGATTCAACGACCACTACTCCGTCAAGTCCCGAGAACACTACCACAGAAGCACCATCCACCACTCCAACTCCTTCAACCGATGCAGAGATCAGCACTATTGCACCCACCGAGCAGAACAGTGCCAATGCTGATAGCAGCAGTATCAGTCCTCTGTGGATGCGCACTGCCGCACCTCTGCTGATTGTGGCTGCGTTGGTATTGTAAAACGGTGTACTGAGGGGATTCGTTTGATTGAAATGAACCAGTTATAAAGAAACTTATAATAATAATTTCGCCAGTATATATGTGCTACTTTCGTGGTCAAATAAAATAATTTACTACACATTTGGGGGTTCATTTTAATTGTATTGAACCTCCTTTTTTTTTCGCACTTTTTTTTTTTCTCTCCCACGCTCGTTTGTTTTCTCGTTTTTGGTTGCGTGCGCAGGCCCTGTGCTCATCTGCTCACTGACCACACATATACATATCACAAATACGTTTATACCTGCGATTGCTGAACCCACAATGTTGTACAACTGGGGTATTGGGATTTGACCTTGTTGTTTTGGATTTGTGCACTTTTTTTTTCTGTATATACTGTTTTTGGGGGGTTTGCATCATCTTGCAAAGGAACTATTCCTTTTCTACTACTTTACTCTGCTGTTGCAGCTGCTTCTCTCTCTCACTGTGAGTATTTGTGTCCTGTATCCACTCTCTTTCTCTCTCTCCCTTTCCCTCTCTTCCACACTCTCTGCATAGACCTGTGAACTCAAGTGACAAGGAAGACAACAAGAAAAAGAAAAGGAATGATGATGATGATGCGCCGTGTGATGTCTGTGTTGGCCGTTGTGCTGTGCTGCACCTGCGGGTATACCATGACGGCTGCTGCTACTACTGAACACACAGAGGGGGTAATGAGTAAAGCTATCAAGAGTAGTAGTAGTAGTGGTGGTGTTTTTTCAACTGTTACAGGGTATCACCCTGCTGTGGATGATCACCACAAAATAATTAACCTTTCGAAGCCATCCACCAAGAGTTATCCCAAAGTAAACCAAGAGACGGCGCCCGGAACGCCTGAGGGTGTAAATATAGAAATCCAACAAGGCCGTCAACACGGAGTCGGAGGTGAGGCAGAAGCCACGCATCCGGTGAATGAGGTATCACCTGATGTTGCCGTCACGAATCCAGAACAAGATAAATCGCAAGAATCGGCTACCTTGGATCAGGAAAGTAGAGTATCGCAATTGGGTGCATCAGAAGATGTTCGTACTACAGGACAGAAACCAGATACTGGTGCCACGACAACGCAAAGCCAATCTCCGGGGTCTAATGGTACTGCTGAAAGTGATCAAGGAGCACAGAGCAACACAGCTGATAACACTACACCTGGCGACTCTGCACTTACCCAGCAACCATCTCCTCCAGCTGTAGATACGACTGTCACTTCAGACTCACACGAAACCACTTCCACTACTACGCCGAGCACCGAGAACACTACCACTGAAGCACCAACGACCACAACATCATCTCCTGTACCCAACGCAGAGATCAGCAACATCGCTTCCACTGTACAGAACAAGGGTAATGCTGACAGCAGTATCAGTCCTGTGTGGATGCACACTGCAGCACCGCTGTTGATTGTGGCTGTGTTGTTCTCTGCCACTGTGTACTGAACAGTGGGACTCATCTGAGGACAAATAATAATAATGGTTAAACTAACATAATCATAATTGCGTGCATCCACCCCATGGGTGAATAAACTAATAATCTGTTTACCAGCTTTCTCTTTTAATTCGAATTTCTTTTTTTTTACTTATTAATTCCATTACTTGCTTTTACTGTTGTGTGTGTATGTATAGAAAACTGGGCTGTTCTGTTCACTGACGGTATACATCTCTTGCTAGTACACACAGATGTGTGTGTGTACAGTAATTTAATATATAAACTAGAGCCATGGGGTATTGTGTGTGTGTGTTCTTGGAGACTCTCTGTGTGTGCCTGGGCTTGCACAGCGATGATGATGATGAACTGCTTTTTGCAGTGGGAAATGAAATAATAATAACATATGAATTTATATTTATAATTGCGTATATACTTACACATATAGACTTACACCCATAGTTGGTGTATATTTCTCTTTTTACTGGGTAAAGTGGGATAATGATTAATATTTGTTTGTTTGTTTGCTTATGGTTTGCTGATTCGTTGTGTATTGTGCCCTGTATCGTATGACGATTGGCTTTTTTTTTTTTCGTATTCTTACTAAGTTTACTTTGCTGTATTGTTTTCTGTAACTGGTTTAGTTTTTATTTTTACATTATTGTTTTTTTTTATGTGTTACTGTGTTTGGATTACATTTTTTCATCTCTCATACTGTTTTTCTTTTATCCACTCCACTGCTTTTAAGCTAAACCCACTATCACTATTTTGACTATGGGGAAAATGATGCGCCACGTGGTGTGTTTACTGGTTCTCATGTTGTGCTGCGCCTATGGGTGTGTGTCTGCTCCAGCTGCCACTCAACCTTCCACTAAGGATCACGCTGGCCGTCAAAAACCCTTTCAAGACCTTGTTGTGCCTGGTACTGGGGTCAGTGTTCCTGGTGCTAAGCTCTCTGAACCACGTGGGTCTCACACTGTTGGGGATAATGCTTTGAAGAATTGTCCTGGCAAAGTGGATAAGAATGGTGCTTGTGTTCCCGGTGCTGATGCTACTACGATGGGTCCGGGTAGTGATGTTGCTTCTGGTGTTCCCACTGCAACATCGATGTATCCTGGCGTTATTGACTCTCATGGTGGAGCTCTTAAGGACAAACGTGATGCTGTTCTTGTGCTTAAGACCGATGAAAAAGTTCAACTGCCTGAAAGTGGTGTTTCCCCATCCGGTGTGACCGACACTAGTAAAGCATCTCTTCTGTCACGTCCCGTTACTGTTGGTAATCGTAATCATACCCCAGTTGGTCCTGATGCTGCTGCTGTTCCTGGATATCCCAATGGTGTTCCTCCTACAATTAATGATGTTCCCGTTTCTCAGGGAGAACAAGCAGGTGTGCCTGGTGCTACTTATCCGCGTGCGAAACATGACGATCGTGTTACTGTTCATCCTGCGACGCCTGTTTCGAATACTGCAGATGGTCAACCGAAATTTCCCGGTGTAGATCCAAAAGTTGCACCTGCTGATCCCGTTACCGATTATCCCGGTGTGAATCAAACTCTCCTCCATGTTGGAGGTGCTCCTACTGTCGCTATTAATCGTGGTTCTGGCCCTATTCCACCTCCTCCACCTGAGGTTTCCCCGAGTGGTAGAGAAGCGTCAACAACCACTCAGCGTGAACAGAACGGCACTCCTGCTGCAGAAAGTGAGTCAACAAGTACCCAAGAAGAAGGTGATGCAGAAAATACAGAATCAACCACAACAAACTCCACAACTTCTCCTGAGACTTCAGACAGCAGCATCATCAGTTCTGTGTGGGTGCGTGTACCACTACTGATTGTGGTTACATTGGCCTGTATTCTTGTATGCTGATTTTGTAGTGTTGGATTACTTTGTGAGGATAAGAAAATAATAAGTAATACATACATAAGTATATTTATAATTTTGCTTGGTTCGACCGTAAGAGACACATTGTTGTGTATTTCTTTTGCTTTTTTATTTCTGATGGTCGTACTCTTTAATTGCTTTACTTTCATCTGAAAGGCTCATTGGGATTTTGTGCTTTGTTTCTTTAATCAAACTCGATATGAGTGATGGTTCAATGTTTGTGTCATGTGTTGTGTTTCTGTCTTTTTTTTTTTTCTTTGATGTTTGATTTGTTTTATTCTGTTTTATTCTCATCTTCTTTCTGTACTCTTTCTTCTTTCTTGTACATTCCATTGAAGTAAGACAGGTTCAACAATATCCACAACAATACCTTCAACCATTGGAAATCGTTATTTTATTTAGCGGAGTACCTTAATCCCCACTTGGCTGTTTTCCGGTCGGGGAGGCCTCCTCGTCGGTCGAGGATGTCATTTCCCCCCTTAAGCTTGGAGTGTTTTTCATTTCATTTCCTTGCCTTTTTTATGGTAAAAGCGAAAAAAAAGAAGAAAGAGATAAGTCCATTGGGAAAACTTCAAAAAAGAAATACAGAGAGAAAACAAAAGTGGTTTTTTTTTTTTTTTTTAGAGGTGGGTAACCTCCTCTTCTTTTTTTTTATTTTTTATTTTCAATCAAGAAGTGCCAGACTCCCAGAATTCTCTTGCAAAAGTGCCAACAAGACCGATGGATCCATCCACCATGGGACGATAAAATGTCCCCCATCACGTACATCACACTCTGTTCCCACAACAATAATAAAACCCGTATCCTCTGGAGTTGCGGTGCGGGTTTTACCTGCATTCCGTTCCAATACCCCACGTACAGCTGTTGCCATACAAAAAACTTTTACAAAAGAAAGATATTGGGGTAATGGAAGTGTAGGGTCTCTTGTAATGTAACCAACACCAGCTTCACTTATAATTCGATGACATTCTTTATTTAATGAAGATTGTTCTACTACTTCCTCTAACCATTCTTTAAAGGAAGAGTTATTTTCAAATTCTCGTTTAGTTATTACAACATTATCTGTTCCATCTTTAGCTTCACCAATCCATCCTCCAAAAATTTCTTCATTTTCTTTATTTTTATCACCATAATGAGTGGCATGTAAATGTGGTTTGTATGGTAAACAATTGTAATAAACATTTATAGCATTCATAGCAGGAGCATGTAGGGCTAAATAGATACGATTTTTATATAAATTTTGCCAGAAAATATATTCTTGTGTAGTATCCATAGAAAATATACGAGGGAAACAGTGAATAGGTCCACGGTATTTATATTCCATTTCTTCTTCTTCTTCATTATCATTATCACCATTATTATTATCATCCTTATTTGCTTCTTTATTTTCCGTGTTACACGATTCATCCTTATTATAGACATTATTTTGCAATGGAATGCTGGATTTATTGGTTATATCCTTTTCCTCATTCTCATTCTCATTCTCATTATTGATATTCTTGGATGGAATAAATTCTTCATTAACTACTAATTCTCTCAATTCTAAAAGTTTAGACAATATGGAGGCTGCGGTATGAGCCTGTTCAAGTACCATTTCCAATGCAGCTACTAAACTTCCCAGAAATTCACCAAAATCTTTAGATAACTTTATAGAAACTGCAAAACGAATCATTTCTGCAGTACAACAAGACATGTGACGAACAACTATATAATCTTTTTCCTTCTCTATATTTTTTCTACACTTGTACATGATATCCTTTTCATCTCCTACTGCAATTTCTTCTGTATTTTCTACCAAGGATGTTTGTTTATCCCACATTATGGTAATATTTCCCTCAATATAAGGTGCAGTGGCTTTGGCAAGATAACGACAACGAGAAATTCCATAAGAAATTCCTTCTTCTTCTTTTTCTTCCATTTCTTCTATAGAGGCATCATTTTTAAAATGATTTTCATTCTCTTGTGTTTTTTCATCACAATGGTAACATAAACTGCATACCAGTTTTTGAAGTGTTAGGGAAACTTTTACAGAAGTTTCCTTGGGAAGATGTAAATGATGCATTACCGCTAAACAGTGTTCATTAAGATCTAACATACCAGAAATTAAAGATGTTGTATCTACCATTGCAAGTTCTAATTGTAAACGTTCATAGCTTGCAGCTTCCCACTTGCCCATTTTTTCTGTAATATTACCTATAGAATCAGAAGGGTAAATTGTACATGTTAATTCCTCACATATTTTTATATCTTTTCGAGAGATAGCTCCACATGTACTTTGATTTGTATCGTAAAAATGAGATGATTCCTCCCCCTCCTCCTCCTCCTCCTCTTTATTATTATCATTATTATTGAGAGACTGTGAAGAATTGGTTTTGGCTTTAAAATCTGGTTCTTGATCAAATAAAAGTGCCCCAACAAGAACAAGTGGTTTCATTGCCATTTCTTCAATGCGTTGTTGGCGAGGACGATTACCTGTTCCAACACCAGAGTTAGCCTTATTATGTATATAACGTACATATTTCTTACGTCCTTTTACTATACGATTAACAATTATAGGAAGATTTTTTGAAAATCTTAATACACAGCGAGACATGGCCTCTACATATCTCGCATTAAAGAAAGCTACAGCCTCAAAGAGAACACATGATTTTCCACAAAGAACTTCTGGAAGTTCATTACAAAATTGTTCCACACGACGCATTGCCGTAGATTCTCTCTGACACACAGAAGAAACATACTCTAATGAATGGGATAAAAAAGAATCAGATGATTCCACTTTCGATTCATTTTCTTTATTATTTCCTGTTGCATCTCTAAATTTGTGATAAGTGGTAATGGCATGTCGAAGTGCCTCCAACACACTTTGTGAATCATCTAAAGTAACTCCACCACTACTACCAGTTCTTCCTTTTCCCGATAATGATGATGATGAAGTTGATGCCATTCGCATTTCAATAGATTTAAGAGCGACCCGAAGTGCCTCTGAGAGACGCCGGAACTTTTCAGTGGCGTGAGGGTCGTCTGGGTGTAAATCCGGGTGGCACTGCAGAGTCTGGGCGATGTACGCCTTCTTCACACGTGCGTGGGAGAGATCGGAGGAGGCGGTGAGTCCTAATGTGTGCAGGGCGATGCGGGGAGTCATGGCCCGCCGCCAGGGAGTCTGGGCAAGCATATTCCCAACACCCAGCCACTGTACCCGCTAATTAGATATATATAAATAAAGAGAGAGAGAGAGATAGAGAGAGAGAGATAGAGAGAAATAAATAATAGTAATGAGATGGGATAGAGAGATAGAGAGAGAGAGGAGAACAGGAAGAAGAAACGGAAAAAAAAAAAGAAAAGAAAAGGGAAAACACAGAAGGGTCAAAAGAATAACTAACTAACTAAGAGGAATAAACACAATAAAGGTGATCATCATCATTCCCCACTACTTTTTTTTTTCATTTTTTTTTTTTTTTTCACTTTTCTTCTCTTTCATTTTCTTCTTCCTCCTCTTCATCTTCTTCCTCTTCACCTTCCTCTGGAAGTGTAAAGTGAAAAAATACTTTACTCGATACAAATGCCTCCTCCAGTGCGGTATACTCCCGAATCGCATAATCTACCATAGTGGCAGTGAGATGCATATTATTTATTTCCTCATCTTCATATGGTGTGAGTTTCTTCTTTGACTTTTTTCGTTCCTTTGCCTCCTTATCACGTTCTGCAATACCTTGCTGCATGGCGAGAAGACGAGCTTCATAATGTTTCCGAACACTCTTAAACCAATGAAGAGATTCAAATGCCTCTGAAATACCAAAAAGTTTAATAAGAAATGAACAACCAAGAACAAAACCATCATCTGTGAAAAGACCATCTTTATTCTTTTTTACAAGTTGTTCCTTTTCACGTATCATCATTTCTACATGTAAAACACAAATGGGTGGTATAATCATATGAAAATTCTTTAGATGATTATACTTTTCTGCATTCTTAAGTCGTCTTATAATGGCTTCAAGAAGCATACGAAAATACTCTGAACCTTCTGATAATTTCTTTCGCATATTTTGAATAACACGATCTACAATACGTACAGCTTCTACTGTACATAGTGGAGCCTGTGTTTCATCTTTATCTTTATCCCCTTCTCCTTCTTCCCCCTCTCCTTCTATTACACCTTGTGGTTGTAATTGTTTGGGTTCATATATATTACTATGATTGCCCTTATGATTATTATGATTACGGTTACCCCCCTTATTCCCCTCATTCTCATTTTCTTCTTCTCCTTCTTCTTCATCCTCATCGGTTCCAATAGCCTCCGGGTCAATCACACGTTCTAGACGAACGGCATTATCAATAGAAGGAACAAATACGGCCGCATCGGCAACCGCACGAAGTCCACCACTACGCATCATTCGCATATAACCCAATGCATTTCCAATTTCAGAAACGAGATGACGAAACTTTTCTAAAAATGTTTGTCCATCATCGGCAAGTCCAAGTTTTCGCATTTCTCGAATAAATTTTTCTGCTCGTGAAAGTGGATATTCACCTTTAAGTTCTTCTTTCTGAGCTTGAAATAATTTTGCATCTTTTATAAGTCTTGATTTCACATGATCATCATATAAAAATTGTGAAAGAATAGCAAGTTTTTTTAATATACACTTATAAACATAATTAACAGTTGTATTCATTATTCCTGTACCATGTGTTCGAATAGAATTGGCAATATGACGAATATGTAAGGTATGTAAATGTTTAGATTCCGTAGCGGATGGACGTTGTATAAATAATTGTTCATTCATATTATAGGTATAATTAGCAACAAATACTTGAATATTTTCTGTAATGACAAGTACATCTAATCCTTGATCTACTATACTTCCTGGTAAATGACCATCACATATTATAAGTCCATATTTTTCTAAGGCTAATATACGCATTTCTTCATATGTTTTCCAATCATTTGCCATTAAAGCATTAAGATTATAAAATTGAGTATTCAGATAATTTTCTACTTGAGTAGCAATATGAAGCCATTCATTAAAGAAACGAAGAGGTACTAAACGAGTAAAACGTGCCAAATCACGTGCTCCTGATGATAACAGTGAAGATGTTTCTAATTCAATTTTACGAAAAGGTTGTCCAAGAACAACAGAATGTGTAGAAAGACGTAAATCATTTTCAACATCTGTACAAAGTGGTTCAATAAGAGATTTGGAAAAACATTTCTTTATATAGGAGATATAATTATCTAATAACTTTACAGAATCCTTCACATGTTTAGAAGAAAGAATCGTTGGTCGACAATCATGCATAGCCATAAGAAGATACGGTAAATATTCAGCTTTAAGTGGTTTTTGATAAATTCGATCAAAAAAGAGTGGATAAAAGGTTTCTCTTTGCCAATAGAGAAAATCACAATCCGTAGCCGTTTGAAGAGTCATTTGATACGAAATCACACGATTAAGATGAGCAAAGGCGGTAAAAATATCTTCTGTTTGTTTTGGGGTAATAATATGAAGAACACTTCCACTCATTTCACGTCTATGAAGTGCTATACTAAGAACAAGATCAAGAGAAACTAAATTTTCTGGTGTTTGTGGTTTATGTAAAAGAGCAATAGCTTCTGCAATAGCACTATATTGATCCGTTACATCTTCTTTACTTTTTTGAATAATATCACCTAATTGTTGATAAATATCATAAAGATGTTGTTCCATTCCATATGTAATGGTACGAATAAGAGAATTATAGGCATTGGCTAATATACCACTTTTAGCATGATAAGCAGCACGAATCATCATAAGTAATTCAATTCCATGCGCTATACCATCTACTTGTTGTAAGGAAATAGCCACATCCGCACAATTATGTAAAGAGATATGATTAATAATAAGTCGTTGAAGATGTTGAGAAAGAAGTACACCACGTTGTAAAAGTAAAGTCATTGTTTGTAAAAAAGATTGATAATGTAAAGAATCTGCCGGTACAGTAGATTCCATTTCCGTTAACCAAGCACTAACAAGTGTTGTTAGTCTATTAAGATGAGGAATAAATACAGAACTACTTTCTTGACAAGCTTCTTTAATAGCAGACATTCCTTCCTTATTAGGATCTTGAAGAATTCGATTTAATTCCACCGGTACTCGACGAGCCATCCAAGCCGCAGGTCTAAAGAGATGCATACCTCTTATATAAATAACAGGCATTTTATGATGAAGACGAAATACACGTTTACATAAATCACGACGTATATTATTATTATTATTATCATTTAAAGTTTGTGAAAATAAATGAAGATGTAAATAATACATTCCTAAAATACCTAAATAACGTTGACGAGCATTCCCTTCTCGTGTTGTTCCTACTGTTTCCTCTACCGTAGTAATTAATTCATCCAATAAATCGGTAAATTCCATACAAAACCTTTTATTCCTTGTTACCATTACCTGTATAGAGTTTTCCTCCCTATCAAAGGGTTGCATAATAAGACGATGTAAGATTCCATCATCTAATAATTCACACTCAATTTTACTTAAAAGTCTACAAAATAATTCCATCGTCATTTCATCATATTCAAATCGATCTTGATTTCTAGAAACCTGTGCAAGAAGTTTACGATAAATAGAAAGACCATGACGAAGTGTTTCATGGGTTTGAAGTACTTCTTCTAAACTCACAACGGCCGCAAAAAGATCTGTTAAGGAACGCCAAACCAGTGGAAAACGAACATGTGTAAAAGGTCTATAATGATCTTCTTCACGTAATGGAGAATATAAAGAAGCTAATTGTTGAATTGTATGAAATATTACTTTTCGTACTCGTTGAAGCCAATTCCATATATCTTGTAAACATCCCAAGAGATAACCTACTCCTTGTTGAGCTTCCTCATCTGTAATACCTTCTATTCGACAACTATCATCTCCAAACATGGCTAATGGTGGAATGAATATATCAATTGCCTCATTTGCTAATCCATCCATTTCCATTACAAGACTTGCAAAACAAAGTGTAAGACGATAAAAAAGTTTATTATGAAGTTGTGTACGTCCAAGAGTATCGGCAATGGATATGTCTTGTTGACATCGCTGGGCTGCGGTGGTACCAAGGAGTAAATGGATCGTATCACTATGTATATCCCACACCATTGGATCCCATCGGCGATTAAATGCCTGTTGAAGTTCTAACAACATTTTTTCATGAGCTGCAGTGAAAACATGCAGTTTATCGTGAAATGCCTCCCGTTCATCTTTTCCAATATCTACACCAAAGTTGAAATTTGTTAGCATGATGGAAATGATAATAAACTACACCTAAAGGATAGAGAGAGAGAGAGAGAGAGATGGAAAATAATAATAATAATAATAATAAAATAATAATAATAAACAGATGTGGTTACTAAACCACTATATCATTAGATAATCATGTTATTGGCAGAGTAGAGAAAGCCTACACAGCAAAGCAAGTAGTAATAATAATAATACAAAGAAAACGATAATACCCCAATATTTCTCTGGAATCCACAACCAACCAACGAAAAAAAAAAAACAATCTCTTACACATACACCTACACCTACAAGTACACCTAGAGCAACTCTAAGGTAACATCTCTCATCCTTTTTTTTCTCTATATATATATATAATTGTACTTTATTTTAAGCGACGTTTAATACACTCCGATTTACATCGGGCTGCTGCGGTATACAGTGGATGCTGTAGATATAAACTCGCCTCTCCTCTAGTCTCCAGAGAAGAAGGTCCATCATAACGAAGAGAAAGGAATCTTCCTACTTGTCTATTCCTTTTCTCAAATGTGAAGATATTATGATAACCATATAATTGACGAGCAAAGACACCTGTGTATAAATCTTTTACCAACCGCATACAATCATCCGCATGTTTTTCCGCTTCCTTATATTGATAAAGTAAAAAAAGTGACTCACTTAAATTTATATGAGATATGGCGGTATCTAAATGAAATTCCCCAACACTACGACGACGTAATCGAAGAGCATGACGATAATACTCCACAGAGAGTTTATGATTTCCACACCAAAGTGATAAGATTGCCAATCTATCCATAACAACTGCTTGCAAGAGATCATCTTTACTCTTGTGTAAATACGCTAACACCATCTCATACGATTGACGTGCTTCTTCTAGACGATTACACCCACTAAATGTATTTCCTTGAGTAAACATGATAAGAGCCATAGGACCTGAAGTAATATGTTTAAATGATGTATCTAAACTAGATCTTAAAGAGGAAAGTAACTCTAGAGATTCCACATGGTGTCCACTATTGGATAGTGCCTCTGCAAGTTTTACTTGAAGTCTAATCCTAAAAGGAACATTATCCATATAAGAATAATAGTTATTATCATCCTTAAAATATTCATCATAATAAGAATATATATCCTTATACTCAGAAGTATTAATACTAGTAGTAGTAGTAACAGCGATATTATATTTATCAATACTTTGTTTAAATGCTTCTACTGCTGCCTGGTGTTGATTCTGTGCTGTGAGAATATTTCCTTTTGTTTCCAATATACTAGCCAAAAGACGAGCGTGAATGGAATTCCAAACTTCTCTTAACATCACATCCCTCTCTATATGAATTGATGGAGCGATTTCCATTAACTCATCAAAAAGTTCTTCCACCATTTGAAATGCATGATCAAGAAATTGATTTCTTCCTATAAAAGGAGTAAAATTTTCTGAACCGATAATAATTAAAAGTCGTACCAGTTTAAGTTGTGAGTGTGTAAAGGAAGGAAATGGTTCGGGAAGTTCATGTAAATAACGTTCCATGGTTTCTAATGCCAAATAAAGATTCTCTGCGGTATGAGGAAGAATAGCTTTAACAACTGTCCCTGCTCGCAATAACCTCTCTGCATACTCTAATGCTAAAGAACCAATACTTTTAAATAACATTATTTCTTCAGCTTTATTGAAAGGTTTATACTCCATTAAAACTTCTAAAGCTTTCTCCATACAATGGAGTTCCACACGTTCATCCCCTACAATATTCTTTTTCTTTTTTAAAAAATACGCTTTCCTTTTATTTTTTCTTTTCCATTCCTCTGATACTACTACAGGGGTGGTAGAGGAGATATGTAAAGAGTTATTCCTTCTCATCAACTGTTGTAAAAGAAATTGATGAGTAGATTCCAACAGAGAGTGGGCATCTCCACATAAATCACGTCGAGGTTTTCTCTCTACAAGAAGAGAAAGAGGAGTTTGCTGTGTAGAAAGAGTAAACGTTTCTTTTTTATCTTCACAGTTTAAAGAGGAAGTGTTAGAAGATTTAATAAAGGTGGAATGAGCTTTTAAAAGATGATCTTCATACTCTGAAGCTTCTCTTTTATCCTCCACATAACGAGATCGCCACTTCTCTCTATCATCTTGTGTAAATTCTTTATTATATTCAATAAGATCCCGTAAATGATCCAAGGCCTTATTGGCTTGAAAAAGACGTTCTGTACGTAGAAGACTTATCACTAAAATATGAAGAAGTTCACAAGATATGAAAGAGTTTTTTAAACTCTCATCGGTTAATAAACACTCTACCAAGACAACACAACGATTGTATTGTTTTGATTGAAAGAGTTCCTGCAAGTATTGTATAGCTTCTTCTCTGTGATATCCGAATTGATCCCATTCCTCATGTTTCCACATACACGTGTTGAAGGGTGGGAGATTTGGAAATGCCTTCACTGAGAATAAATAGAGAGAGAGAGAAAAAAAAAAGAAAAGGGAAAACCAAAATAATAAAAAAAAACAAAGAGAAGAACAAAACAAAAACAATTATTCCTATAAAAATAGTGAAAAATTCAATTCATTATCTTCCTATTTCCCTTCTGTTTTTTTGGGGTTTTCACATTTTCACCCATTCAAAGAAGACATTAATACAGCACCCTCACTCATATTTTTTTTTTCTGTTTCTGTTTCTGTTGCACGTATTGTTTATACATAAATATATATATATATATTTATTTATTTATTTTAACTCTTCACCCCCTGTAGAGAGGACATAAATGTTTCTCTCGTCTCATTCTTTCTTTTTTTTTTTTTTTTTTTTTTTT